TTCACCGAAGCGACGAGACCAAACAAAATCAATGTTGCAAACGCGAGGGGGAGAGTAGCTTTTGACTGGAGATCTCTTCTCGATCGGGCTGCATGACGTTCTGTAGGGGATACCAACTTACAAAGGCGGCTCTATTGAGTGACCGTTCAGAAGTTCAGATCTTGCTTCTCCGAAGATTTCACGATCGAGAATTAAAAAAACGTGAAGAAAAAGAAGAACTTGTGCGATGTCATGCACGATGGGAGCAAAAGCTATATCAAGAGGGACTTGAGCAATAGTCAGCTGAATCGGGCAGGTGAGCGCTCTGTAGAAGCAGAATTTCTTCCTTTCTTTCTTTCTTTCTTTCTTTTAAGCCAAAAAAAGGGGGGGTTGTCGAAGCTGACAAATTCATGGCATACTAGGTCACTGAAACAAGTATCGATGACGAGGGTTACCATCCATGGGCCATGTTATAGGTCGACGATCACCATCATCGCCATCATTGCCATCATCGATATCATCGATATCATCGCTATCATCGCTGTCATCACCATCATCAATATCGTCATCACCGTCACCGCTGTCATAACCATAATCAGCACCTCTGCCACATTGCACCCAGAGCTTGACAGTTGGGTACCTTCTGCCTTGTGCCACGCTGCCAACCAATCAGAAAACCCTGTAGAGTACTAAAAAAGTACAGCTGTCCCTCCCATATGAAGAGAAGGCAGCTTGAATATATTGTCACATCACTACAAACTAAAAGAGCGCACTTTGCGGAACAAAGAATAAAAGCAAAAAACGGGCACAGTGAGAACATGCAAAAATAAAAAGAAAAAGAAAAAACAAGGGCAGATTGAAACCATTAAATTTCTCATTCTTCTTTGAACTCCACCTCCACTGTGCCTCTCACGTGCAAGGCTCGCCACGTTGATGATATATACTGATGAGTCGGTGAAACTCCGACGAAACAGTTTGTCACAGCCCCTCGTTTGTTGTCCTCTTCTCCCTCTCTGCCTACAGTTTACCGGGCAGTTCTATTTGACGATATATATAATATATATATTATGTAGTCAAACAGAGCTGCCGGGTAAACCGTAGGCAGAGAGGGAGAAGAGGACAACAAACGAGGGGCTGTGACAAACTGTTTCGTGAGAGTTTATAATATATATATATATCGTCACAAACAGAACTGCCCAGTAAACCATAGGCAGAGAGAGAGAAGAGGACAACAAACGAGGGGCTGTGACAAACTGTTTCGTCGGAGTTTCACCGACTCATCAGGAGGCTGAACCCTCAACAGTCTGCAGAATCCCCTCACTGATTACACT